CTTTACTTCATCACGCTTACCACAACACCACCAGTGCCGCTTGTGGACCATACCTATCAACCCATATATATACATGGACCCGGGACCAACGGCTTAGATTTTATACCTCAGAAAATCCCGACGGCGCCGACTGGGATTGAACCCAGGCCCTTTAGAGTGATCGGCAGTCACGCTTACCACTATACCACCAGCACCGCTACAGAATCCAAGTTAACATACCTATAAATCTCACATCATGATATGAGTATGAAAATCGAGTAAAATTTAATTGACCTTTAAGGTTAATTCTCGAGGACTTTTTGTATTCCATAAAATGTGTTAATGCTCTGCGAGCATTTTTGAAAGAAAACTTTTGATAAGATATCATAGGCGTCTCTGTTGAACTTGAAAATATGAGGATCAAAACTACAGAAAAACTTAGACGTCCTAGCTAGATAAACAAAAGAAATTTATCTTCGATAATTTCTACATTATTGTACTACTGCAGCTGAATTCTATCAAAACATAATACAATTCCTTGAAGCAAGCCTCCGAAAAATTTGGGACCTAAACTGTTAAAGATTGAAGTAAGCAATACAATGATCGGTTACTCACCATTGTCAATTTATTTTCGTCAGACTAGAAGCAGTAGCCCGGCCGGTTGGTAAACATTTTTTGTTGTTTGACGAATTGCACAAATCATTCTTGAATCAGACTATTATCAATGAGAGCAATGCCATTCTCCAGACATTATTGACAATGTAAATTCAGTGAAATTTATATGTAAGCGCATTAATTTTCCCAGATATCAAGGATCTGCAAAGGGCACTATCATTCGCCTCTAGCCTTAGGTGAAATTTTGCTTCATTCAATGTTGTTTCCATCCATTCGGTACATAATTGCAACATATATACATATTTTGTACTGGTAGGTGAATAAGACCGACATTAAGTAAACAGCATTAACCCCTGCCTCATTCTCCTCTGCAACGGTTCGGATCAAGCTTTTTCAGTGCTCAAGGACGAATTTTCTCTGACCCTACCCAATGCCACCCGGCGTCGTCACTGTCGCCGCGCCGGGTGGCCTCGGCCCAGGTCTCGGTAAATCGTTGACTCCTGTACGCCACCGACCGGCCGCCCGAATGTCGTTGTCCCGACCAACGGGCCCGAATGAAACGGCGTCTGCGCAGAATTTCTGGAAAAAAGTGCTCGCTCTTGCCGGGCCCGGCGAGCCAGCCCAGTTCATTTCAGTCTGCTTCCAGCCGGCTATTGTTGTTGATTCGCGTGTGACTTGATCCGGCAGCATGTGATAGTGAGTAGGATAGGTCGTACTACGACCCCACCATCTCTCTCTTCATCGGACGCATTCTGTGTCGTTACGTGGAAACGAAGTAGCTTTTCATGGCAATAAACGACATCGAATAGGTTGTAGGTTATGTACATTCATTCAGAGAATTCGCAGCACCCTGGAGTTTGGAAAGTGGCCGGGAGCGCGCCGGGGACGACGCAAGTCGGTCACAATCCAGAGTTGGTGTAGGATTTTTACTAGTTTGACTGTGTGTATGTGAGTGGGTTTTGATAATACGGTGAAATTGTTATGAACAGCAACAGCAAGCACGGGTATCCTTGAAAATTCCAGTGGAATGTGAATAAGAATTTTCTAGAGGAAGCTTGAGAGAAAGAAAATCAGAAAAAAATGAATGTATTCACTTGAAAAAAGTTCCACCTTTTGGGTTGGTAAATAAACGTCGAAGAAAGGATTTATAAACAAACTTGAATTTCGGTATTTTGTAGATTGGCGGTGAATTACAAACATCCCGTGAGGAATGAAATGATCCTTGAGTTAGAAACCCCCGCACATTTTCCAGACAATAAGATAAGAGAGAAAAGTGACCCGTAGCTACCAACACTCAAAATGATTCTTATTTTGTTTGAAAAACTACTTATTTCATTAGAAATTTCAAGTAATGATAAGAACAGTCAATTTGTTTCAACTTGTTAATGTTTTGGGTATACCGAATATAAAACTATTGATGGTATTCGGAGCGTTTGTCGTGATTAAATAATTCTGTTTGATACGTACAAGTAGGATAACGGCACCAGATTTTGTCATACGAAAAGTAGTCATATTTAAGGAAATATTTCATTGAATGATTTAACATGATATTGCCAAATCAACATATGTATTTACTACAAAGGACAAGTAAATTGAGACACGTTAATCTATCTTAATTCGACCTTCACCGATTTGCATGAAACACCAAACAATCAATTTGAGCTGATTAAAAGCTGAATAAGCTTTACATTATCTGAAGAAGCATATTTTGCATGAATAAGGTGTTATTCAGCTTTATATATTTGTTGGGCAATTGGGTTTCATTGTTTGTTTTGGTAAAATATTTGAGCTAAAATTATGCCAAAAATCAAAATTGCGAAGTCGGTGTTTTTCAACAAATCATAACGCGAAACCGTCACTTCCAATCAAAATGACGTCTAAGACAAAGTTTTAGGAATAAAATTAGTGCTTTTCACGAAAAAAATGTACGTAGAAAAAATTAGTTTAAGGTAAAAAAAAAAACAAAAAAGTCTTCAAAATTTTAATAACAAAAAACAACCCTTTGAAATATTATGATTATTTTTAAATAGAAGGCTTGTTAGATTGCTAACTTTTGTAAAATTTTCAAGTTGACATAGATCGTAGAACAACACTTTTTGTATGTGAAGTTTAGCGCAGAAAACTATAATCATGACTTTCGATAATCTATTTTTGTGCAAAAATTGAGAAAAGTTCATAAAATTTATCAAAAGTTTTTGCTCTACGACTTTTGTCATTTTGAAGTGTCAAATTTGGACAGGGTATCGACTTCCTGTAAAAACCAGGAACATCAAAGAATATCAGGGAATTCATTTTCATTTCATATTCTAGGTCTTCATTGTAAAGCTAGGAAAATTAACTTTTCAGTGACGTTTAAATGATGTTAAAGTTACATAATTTTGGAGGTGAACGCGAATCTGGTTGCGAATTAGCGTTTGATTAAACGTATTATCCGGAATAATTTTCTTGTGGAGCTGGGTCACAAAATAGGGTCATATGAAAGGTGTAGGAGTCCTGTGTGAATTTCTCTGTCCTTAGCGTTGAGCTCGCAAATAGTCAGAGTGAGAAAATTTCCGTTCCAAGGAACTATCATGGAATAAATTGAGCAAACAATATAATATAACTATATCGAGATGGAATAGATTCCAGAAGATCCAGAAATGACGTAGCATTAAAGGGTGACCAGCCATGTAGAAACAATCACTACAAAGGAAAGCGGGTTCAAAGTTGGTGCTTCTTCTTCTTCGCATTTCAATCTTAATGCTTACCGCATATTAGCTTATTACGTGCTCTCAACTTAGCGTTCTAGTTGCACTTCCACAGTTTTTAATTGATCTTTCGATGCCTGTACCATTTTTGCATTAGTATAATTGTGTGGCAAGTATAATCATACTCTATGCCCAGGCAAGTTGATACATTTTCCAACCCGAAAAATTCCCAGAGCGTACCGGGAATCGAACCCAGCCACCTTCAGCATGGATTTGCTTTGTAGCTGCGCCTTAACCTAACCGACTGAGCTAAGGGAGGCCGTTTAACGTTTGTTTACATTTCATGAAGTACCAACTATGCCCCCCTCCCCCTTGTAGCGTATTTTTATACATGGTTGGTCCTCCTAAAATGCTACGTAATTTCTGGATCTTCCCTTACCATGCCAAATCCATTCATCGGGATGTATTATAAGTGAAAATTAAATAAATTCACACTATGTTCACTCAATCAGATCGAGCATACCTTAAGCCTGAGTTTCATCAAATAAAATGAAGAAAATGAGCACTCGCAACGAAAATGATGCCGCCGTATCACACTTATACTTTTTTGCAAAAATTCCAACAACCGAGTAAAGGTTGAACACGAAAAAAATCCAGACACGAAAATCTTGTTGGGGTTGAAAAATGCGTTTTATTTTTCATAGTTCAATGTGATAGCAATACATAAGTAGGTATTATGCTTATTGTAAGACCATTGTTTAAGTCGTCCTTCTTACCATAGCCATTGCTCGAACTTTTCTTCATACAAGACCCATCATTGTTTTACCTGACCCTTGTTCCCACTTGTTTGGCTGCCAAATTCCACTTCCGCTTGAAATCCTTCACGTTAATTGCAGTTCCACCCTTTTTCTTCAATGTGTGCTTCATAGTAGATCAGTATTCCTCAATTGGCCTTTGCTCCGGAGTATTGGCCGGATTCATCTCCTTTGGAACCACTGTGACGTCATTTTCGCTGTAGATCTCAGCTAACAAACAGATATTTTGCAAAGATGTCAGCAAAAGTAAATGCCGAGCTAGTTAATCGACTGTTGGAGATTTTACCGAGTGTAGAGGATACGTATTGTTGTTGTTTTTTTCTAAATAAACATGGGAATGGCAACAAATAAATACATACTTTCATTCACGCATCACACTAGCACTAGAGCCACAAGCAATGTTGATATAAGCTTGTAGTTTACACAATCATAAAAAAACATCTCTCCCGTTCTTTTGTTTTATCAATGAGATATTTCGCTAGATAGGTGCAAGAAATATTCTCCATTCACACAACTTACTTACATCTTACTTCGTTCAATCATATTCTATTTTGTATTATAGCTTCTATGAAGATTATATTTTCGCCATTACTAGAGCACTCACATATACACCCACAACATTCGAATCCCAGCGAAAATTTCAAATTTTCCCACTAATGCCACCGATGCATACCGTACTGTCTCTGTTTGTTCGTCTCGCTTAATGATGCCCGCAACATGTGTGGTTCAAATGGCTAATCTTTCATTCAGATCTCATTCACTACAGTTGTTCCCATTCAGCGAGATACACTGGTATATTTTCTACTACACCCCCAATCTCAACCGCGAAAACATCTGTGTACACTAGATATTTGAAAAATGTCCGTATTATTTATAGTATTTCTCGTTCTCTTGTTTATTTCAGTGATACACACCTCGGTTCGAGCCGGTCCAAGCAGCGATGAAACAACAGTAGCTTGTATGTGTCTGATCGGGGCAGACCCAATCTCTACGGTCGGTCAATCTACTTAGAATCAAGGTACCTACCGTCAGAATAGCACTTTCGGGCATTTGTGCAACAACCGGTCACGAGACGTCGAAGTGAACCTACATATATTGATGTAGGTATAGCTAGCTGATCGTGAAATAACAAACCACGGGCCCACGGGAGCGAAAGCAGCCAAGCCGTGAAAACGAAGAGAGAAAAAACAGATTTTTCGATAGAATTACGTCAATAGAATTGATTTTTAATGGATTCAAACGTGGATGGAAGTGATTTCATTTCAAGAGCTGATAGCAGCAAAGAAGAAGTAGTCATAACGAGCTCTCGTTGGTGGTAATCGTGAAGTGAAAAGAAAGGAAGATTCTTTATTTCTTTTTCAAGTTCGGTTCGATATCTGTATGCGAGTTTGTATGGAAGACAACGATTTATCAGTGAAAGAACATCAGCAGCAGCAGATTTGTTTTCGACTTTCGAAGACACCGCCCGTCGGTCGGGAGCCTCGGCACTGTTTTCACAATCCGACAAAATACGGCCAATGCTTTCAGCCGTGGAGAACCTAGGATCCGGCCGGGTTTATCCCCATCCGTTTCCAGGTACGGCGGCACCATCGTTGCTAGGCCAGCTCCCACTGTCGGCTGCTGGCCTACCGTTGCTAGGACCCAACATGGTCGATATGTCAGTAGCTGAGTTTGCCCGACCGCATCCCAAGCAGCAGAGGTGAGTGAGCACTGAGCAGTATTTATTGCATTCGATAGTGTTAGTACGATACGATTACGAATCAAGCATTGCCTTGAGTTTGGATCATAATGATTATGTGTGAACAATTCAACAATTCTTATCATGTACCAACATTTATTGACTCTTATCTACTTTATCTCCATTGGCTTCAATCGTTTTTCAATTCATAAAGATGCATTAAAGAGCAATTTTGGGCTAGCATCAAATTGTTCTCATGGTTTATGGCTTGGTAAAGACTATAATTAAATGTGCTACTCACATTGGCGTAGCTAGAACAAAATTCTGGAGGGGGTCCAGGGGGAGGCTATTTTTTTTTGTTAAACTACAGTTAGATAAAAACTCATGAAACAACTATTCAATCGTTACCATATTTTACGGCATAGGCTTATTATCCAATCACAATTACTTCACGCAGATACTGAAAAGTATTGACTTGACTCGAGAATTGGGACCTCGAATGGGGAGCCTAAATTACACCTTGATTTTAAACAAGCAATAGAACATGCAGAAACAAATCTTATAATATTGTAAAACAGTCGTTTCACAATCGTGAGTTGATAACGACCCACCCCTAGATGTTTTATGAACTCTGGACCCATCATGATAATTTGATTCAGTTTATTTATAATGGAAACATAAGGTTTCTAAATTCAACACGTTTAATGATCTCGAACTAAAAATATTCTCAAAATGTCAGAGTTAGATAATTTTATACATTCGGAACCTATGATTTTATTTAGATGAGATTTAGATAAAATATCCGAAAAAGCTCGCTATACAAAATAAATGATAATTTAAGGAAAGATTTTTTTCAAAATTTATGACTCGACATACATTTAGAACTTTGGAAAATGTTCGAGATCATTGTACATGAAACATAAAATTCTGAAAATTCGAAAATAATGTTAAGATTCCAAACAAATATGTTTTCAAGATTTTGGAACTCTGGATAATCCAGAGTATCTCTGAATCAGATGTTTAATATAAATTCTGTGAATTCAAATGTAAATACAAACCCACGAGCTTAGAACAATTGTCATTATTCCAAGACAATGATAAAATGTCAAGATCTAATTTCTTATTTCATGAATTGTGTAGAACTCATTTTTCCAGGATTTTCAAAATGTTATTATGTTTGACTTTAATGGAAATATAAGTTACTAACAATAAATTCAATGTATCCACATGCCAAAATTGAGCTCTCAAGGACGTTGTTTACCCCCCTGACGATAATACGTTAAGGTATTGCCGAAGAGAACTTTTCCATAAATTATATTTACTTACGGGAATCCATCGAATAACCCCCGAAAATTGAAATCTTGTTGTAGCTGTAGGCCTCCAGGACAGAATCTGGGATTTATGGACGCTTTCGAATTAGTCATCTCTCTCTACTCATTAGTTGAAGTATATGTAAATTTAATTTATAGTTAATTTGTTCATCATTATCAGGATTCGTATACTTGCACATCCAGCTATTACGACACTCTTTAAAGCAGGAAATCTACTCAAAATAACTAATTAGTTACTAAATTTCCCCATCGTAGTTCAGTTCAGCATTATCTTTCTCCATTTTGATCTTTTTTATGAACTAGACAGCATACTTTTTACGCATTTCTTCAATCGTTATTAACCTATATAATGCTTATGCATTCTTTTAATGGCACTAGAAAAGATGCATTTTTGGACATATTAGCTTTATTCTTAAAAATGCGTAAAAGATTCTCTTCTTTGGGGCAAATCAACCCACGTGGAAAAAGTTGGGGTTAATGAAATTTTTGGAATTTAGTCGGTACGGACGCGAAATCTTAGAATCTCTATAGTAGTAAAATATTTAGGGAGGAAACCAAAATTGATCAACTTGCCAACATAGGCTATCACATTTATTTTGGTGGCACTCTGCTAATTAGCTGTTGTTTCTGTTGTTTCGTGTGGCGTTTGGAACTTGCTCGGATATTTTATACTTAAACAGATTTACTAATTCAATCGGAGTACTACGCGGACGTATCTTTTTATTCGTTAATACGTTTATTTTATTTTGTCAAGTGCATTTTTATCTTTTCGCGTCTGTCGGATTTTACGTGGTCTACGCAGCTTACGGGATTCACAATTCAATACTAATTCAATCGGATTACTATGCGGATATAGTTTTTGCCTCGTTAATACGCACTCACGTCACAGCATTTTTTTTCCCCCAAAACTATCTTGAAACAATATTCTAGAACCAGTGTTCAAACTGCCAACATAGACTAGCCTCATTGTATTGTCCAAAGATAGAAGCAAAATTTACTCACATGGGTCAAGTTTTGAAAACTAAGCTGCCACGCAACTCCAGCTTGATACCATAAAAAAAAGTATCCAAGTAACCATATAATCACAAAAGAACTTTAAATGTAGGTTCAGAGTGAGACAATGTCACTGATATATGCTATGGTTAGTAGGTAAGTATTATTGTCAATAATTATAACTAGATGATATGCAAATTTATATTATTGTTAACTGAATGTACAAGATTTACAGGTATTGAAAAAGTATGGTCCTTTTACTATTACTACTGTTACTCCGACTATCGCCTACTTGAAAAACTATATACTGTTATTGAGAAGGAGCTAATTACTATGTTTTTGCAGAAAATCAGAAGAAATCAATCCAAATGGGTAGAATTAGAGCCAAAAATGGCTCAGTCACCGATGTTGATTCTTATTGTTCAGTCGGTGAGAACGTTTTACATGATTTCATGTTCAAAAGTTATCTGCTTGGTAGAAAGACTCGTTCAGTTATTTAAAGGCATCCTAGCATCTATATTTTAACATCCAATAAAAATTTAAAATAAGTAAAACTCGTAATACTTTTGACCAAAGTGAATTCCTGTGCTAGGGATGATCCCGCGGAGTTGTATTCGCTCAGGCCAGAAAAGGATAAAGATTGATATTTTTCAAATTTCCATATGATATTCTATTGTTAAATGCAGCGCTATATTACATTCAAAAAGATCAATTGTTACTGGCCTGAATGAGGGAAAACTGGAGGATTATATTTGAAACAGCTGTTTACTTTGGTACAAAATGCTTCATATTTAAAACTTCCGCATGAACTAGATTTTTTGAATCTTTTAATAATTTATTCGGAAATCTGTATAAATACATTAATGGAAAAGCATCAACATTTATGGGAGGTCAAAAAACTGAAGTGGTTCGTAAAGCTTATTGTTGATTTAAACCTAGCGTTGATTTAAACCTTAAGAAAATACTATCAGATTTTTAAATTCTGTTAGGATTTAAATTGTGCAAAATCCTTTTTGTTTTAATTTTTGTTCGGCAAACCGGTTTTAATTTCTAATCGTGTAAAATTTGCGAGGATTCATATAATTTTCCAATAAAATGGAAAGAAGCATTTAAATATTTTTATAACAAATGTTCAATTGTTGGCTACTAACATGATTTATAAAATAAGGAAATTACTGACCAGGAAAATCGTGTAAATTTAAAATCGGAAACTTAAAAGTTTGGTTTTCGCTTATCTTTGCGGATGACTTTTGAACTATATGATTATGAGGAATTCTTGTTGAAACCAGTCCACTTTTTGTACGAGGTTCTCAAAAATCATTTTTTTGCACTCATTCAGGAGTTCTAGTTTGAAGCTAAAAAAATCGATCGGAAAAGGACAAATTTATAGACCCCTCGGTAACTAGGGCCGCAAACAGATTACAAATGTGCGCAATTTTTGCGTATTCTTGATACATTAAAATCATTATATTTTTGAAAATTCAGAACACCGAAATTTGCATGGATTTTTTTTGTGTGCTTATAGTCCTAAAAAAGTCCGTAATAACGGGTACCATACACGAATGATATCAGAAAAGAGTTGCTTATTTAGTTAAGATGATCATCTTTGCTGAAGACGTCAAGTCTCTAAACTGTCTGTGAAATGCTTGGTTTTTGCGGATGAGTTTCTGTGTATGTCAGTAGATATTCCTCATTATAATAAGCAATTTTGCTGAAGATACCAAGTCTGGGACACGCTTCATTTTGGAGTTATTAATAATGTCCAACTAGATTACATTCCTGGCCCACTATGCAGTGCAAGCCGGTCTCCATACAAAATGGTCAACATTGATATGTTTGTAAAATAAAAATAAATGGTTGAACTTAGTTTAACATAGTAGAACAAAAAAGTTACATCTGAAAACCCGATTTTACGGGGGCTTTCAAAAAAAAAAATACTAGATATTGCGGATCTTAAAAAAAAAAAATCCGTCTGGCGGCTACCAGAATATCAGCAGAATACTGAAAAAACAGCGTATATGTGATGTATGTTCTTGAATCCTTGATTATTTGACAGCTGCGGTGGAACTTATTCTTCTTGGAATTAATCCATAAAACGGAAACAAATCTCTCGCAATATCTCTATGAAAATGATAGGTTTGCGAATTTTAGTTTTCAACAAAGTGTATGTAAATAATAAGTTCTACAACTTTATAAAATATGTTAGTATATAAAACTGTCACGCAAAAAAGTTATATTTTTATGTAGCTTCCTAAGGAGTGTTCTTTACAGACCATTCCTTCATTAGATGCACCAGTCTAGTTTGCATTATTGTCGAGACATTCAGTCGTGGGCTCGTTCGTCTCCTACGAAGTCATCCACTTGATTAAACTTCATCTTTCTGCATTTTTTTTTTTCTTGAAAATCGTGCTTCTGAGACACTGTAGTGCATTGAGAGTTATTTATAAAATAGGAGTTTTAGGCAGGCTTAGAAATGTTTATTACAGCTAAAATGCTACTTTTCGAAATAATGGATCTATGAGATATTTCAATAATAATTTGTATATGAAAGATGCAAGAAGAGGAGGTAAAGTTTGTGTATGAAAAATAAAACCTGTAAATTTTGCTTTAAATCTTTGCCAAAAGACAACTTGGAGCGTAAAGATACGATTGCTGCTGTTTTTTGGATCTGAAACGCGCTTTTGTAACAATTTCTAG